CCCCAAAACCCCAAAACCCCAAAACCCCAAAACCCCAGGTGAGATATAAAAGATTGAATTGTTAATAATTATTAAAAATGGAGTATTCAGACCTCAACCTGAGTAATGATGATTACCAGAAGAGCGAGGAGTTCAAGAAGAAACTCATGGCCTTTATGGCAGAAAATGGCTATGACAACTTTAAGGTACCACAAATCGCTGGAAGAGAACTTGACCTGTATAAGCTATACACAAGTATCATTAGGCGCGGTGGATACGATAGAGTGACAACCTTAAAACTATGGCGGGAGATTGTGAATGAATTCAAACTTCCAGAGAGTTGTACTTCAGCATCGTTTACTCTAAGGACACATTACCAAAAATATCTTTACTCATATGAGAAGAAGTACTTTTCAGGAAATACTAATGACGGACTTACCAATTTCACAGCTTCTAAATTTGAGAGCGGGCTCCCTCAAATAATCCCAATGACTGACAATATGAACCTGAACTTATCTTCAAAATCTTTTATACAGAGAAAAATCAGGCTATCTCAGACAGAAGCAGAGAGTAAGAGACTAGTCCTTGCTTTTGAATCAAGAATTCCTCGAGAGATCACCTGGGCATTGAACACCTTGACAATTTTTAGCTGAAATGTGTCATCTCCTTTCACTCTTCATTCGCAGCCGTTCTTGCTTGACTCCTTATATGCATATTTGACCTATGCCTTAGGGAAGATCTCTAGCTTGGATAGTACTAACCTGTTGGAGAAGTTAGGTAAGACTATCTCTTCAAGCGTGCCGACTATCACAGAGTCTACTAAGCCAGTGTCCCATTCTACAAACATTTCTTACAAAGGGTCCTACCCCTCTTACTCTGAAAGGATTAGAAGAAGAGAGGAGAACCCTGCCAATCTTCCTAAGCTAGAAGAGCCAGTTTCCAAGAACAAAAAAGCCAGAGGCAGAAGACCTAAGAAATACATTATAGAACAAAGAAGAATGCTTGATGAGATCAGAAGGAAACGGAGAAAGAAAATCTCTATGATGCATACTGAGGTTTCCGAGTTCGAGCTCATCCAGAACATCAGAATAATTATCCATATCTTAAGGAATCTTTCATTTGTAAAAATGAATGAACATCCCTTAGTGAAGTGCTCCAAGCTAGTGGATACTATTATTTGTCTGTTTATCGAGTATATTGATAAGGAAATCACTTTCAATTGTCTGGATATCCTAACCAATCTTGGCAAGCATGTTATACTCAAGGACTCAGCCTTCGGGAGAGAACTTGTTAAATGCCTCTTTGAATGCGTCAAGAAAACATCAATGGAGATTGTGCTAGACCAAACAATGGAATGCCTCAGAAGACTTTGCCTCTCTACAGGAAATGACGAATACATAGAAAATTTGAAGGATGATGACCTCAAAGCAATTGTCGGAACCCTCTTGTCAAGAAATATGGAAACAAGAGAATCAGCTTTAGAAATTCTCTGTTATATATCTGATAGGAAGATTGACACCAAGGTTAAGATTGCAAATACCAAAAATTGTATCAAGAGATTAGTTGCTTTGATTGCTGCAGGATCGCATACACCTGGAGAAGAAAGGGTCTCTAAATTAGCAGCCCTAACTCTTTCAAATTTAAATATGATAACGAAGAATAAAAAGCTTATTATGCCATATGAGCAAGAGCTAGCCTTGATAGCTGCATCTGACGAGAAAACTTCTAAAATAATCACAGAAATTCTGGGGGATCTGGATTTGTACCAAGTAAATGATACAAAGATCGTTTTCTAAGTGCCAATTTCAATAATTTTTCTAAATTTTGGGGTTTTGGGGTTTTGGGGTTTTGGGGTTTTGGGG